ATATATATATATATATATACTATTATACAGTATATATAATTATATATATATATAATCAAGTATATTAAATGCCTACTTGCAATGTTTTTCCTTTCCTTAAATAACTGTTATATTCACTTGCAATGTGTCTTTGAACTGTTGAAAATTTGACTTGTCAATTCCCTAGCAAAATCTCCTCCCTCCGTGTATAGCATAGGCCTTTTCTCTACTGGTAGTCTCTGATTACTCTCTGTGCGGGCCCAACTCCTATGCCCTTCTCTTTACATGTCCTCTTATGTAACTGAGGAGAGAGTAGTAATGGTGATTACTATAGAGTGCCACTAATTCTCCTGGGGCTGCTGACATCACATCCAAGATGGTAACCTCCAGAAGAAGTCTTGGGGCTTTTGGATGGCTACACGGAGGTGGCCTTTACCGATAAATAACATGCATACAATATGGTAAATACAAATATAACCTTAATGGGATTATTTTTGTTGAAATAAATGGTCTAGTAACAGGGTCTCTTTAAAATACACATTAAACAGGGCTGGAATTTAGCTTAAACCACATAGACCATTAGTGGTTGTGACTAGCCAAGCTTTCATCATTAATATTAATGCCATATAGTTCTTAGAAATGTGAGCCACTTGAACCCCAATATTCCAGCTCTGCCCACTGTATTTATTGGTTCAAATGGACAGCTTAGTGGCCCTGCTGAAATTATCCTCAGAGCCTGGGCGCTGTGTTCTACAGAGGCAAGTTGGCCAGCAATGTTGTAAATGAACACATATTGCTTGTATAGCCTCTTTTCTTACGGTACTGCATATACAGTATATCCCACATAACTGTTTGTGTGCTGGCATATAGCATTTCACTCAGATCAGCCAAAAAAACCCACTGTAGACTAATGATGCACCTACTCGTACTCGCCCAAATACTCAGTATCGGCACTGATACTTATACTACTATGGGTGCATCACTACTGTAGACCTCGGTGGCAGAGAAATGCATGCACAACTTTAGTACTACTGAAGAATGTACTGATATTAGCATGAATCTCAATTAGCATCAGAGAAGGTCAGTGAAGACCTCTCAGTCGGGTATTTACATACATCAAGATTGACTGAGCCAAATAGTCTGTTCGCTTTGCAAGGGAATATTCAAAATAATATACTGTATGGTATATAACCATAGTAGAATATTAAAGCCATAACAGTTAACCTGTTTTCCATCCCATAGAGTTGGCACACAGAAAGCTTTCTAGCTTCAGCTTATTGTTGAATTTAGTGTTATAATACAACCATATGGGTGTTGTGTGTGCATATGTGTGTTGTTTGGGAACAATTAACAAAATAGTGCACCCAAACGTTTTATTTTAGTTACATATAAAGTCTGCTCGCCTGAGTCAGCCTACCTCCTATGTTATATGTCTTATATACTCAAACAGCTATATGTCCAAACCACCCAAACCTCTTTCTGTCCACCTGGGAGGTTTGGTGTTCTGGTCCACATTTTGGTGTTCTAGCATATTATGTTACATTCTCCATAATA